TATTTTCATTTGGGTAGCCTGAAGACTATTGGTTTAGTGCACCGAGAAAAGGGGTAGTGGTTTTTGCTCTTCCTGGGTGGCCGGCCTTACAGAGTTATCTAGGGATTTCAAAGTTCATTTTAGTGATCGACAGGGAGACTTTTACTGGTATTTTACTACCTTGAAGTTTAAGAAAATCTCAGTGGTTACTTATTGGACCCTGAAGTTTAAGGATTAAATATACTTAATATAGAACCTAAGAGGCATCTCAGTTTTTATGAGGGTATAACGAAACACCTTCATTTTGATTGTAATTATCTGAGTCTACCCCTCACAAAAAGTGCAGTTTGAGTGGTAAGACATTTCACCTACATGTGATATGTTGTGGGCTTGAGTCCTTAAACTTTAAAAGTGAATCACCGAAAGGTGTGAGGATTTTCTTAAGGTGTGATTATTTATATGAGATACCTCATCTTCTTTCATTGGACCCTGACTTATTGATGACCTACAAATGTGTGATTATTTATATAAGATTTTCAAAAAAAGGGCTCATTGAAAGAAGACGGGGTGCAAAGGTGGGATTATTTTGGGATTATATAAATGTGGGATTATTATGAGAAGACCAGTGAAAGGTGGGATATTTCTTATTAATTTTTCCTATATACTCCGTAATATTAATGGTAAAAGACGAATCAATGCAGACTTATGCAGTAGCAATTGTGATTACTTTCGGTGATTCACTTTTAGCGCACCCCGAGTCCCGACTATTATTTACCTTTTCTTCATATGGTTACTGCCTTGATTATGATTACGGTTGGAAACCGGTCAGGTTAGACTTTTGTCTAAACGGGCAAAGCCTATTTAAGTATGTTTAGCCATGATTCTAACATGTTATTTGTTAAGAGTTTTTCCAAATTTAATGCTAAATAAAGGAGTATTTACCAAATTGAGGTATAGTTAAAATATTTCCCAAGCTACCATAAACTCATTTTAACTATACCAAATTGAGGTATAGTTAAAATACTTCCCAACTTATAGTAGAAGTGTAAAACCCCCAACTTCCGTATGTAGCAACTTCCCACGCACAAGAGGGACTGAGGGAGAAAATAGTTTGGGTCCTACAAAAAAAATTCTTGGTTTTTCAAAGTGTTATAACTATTTTAATTGTATTTCGATTGTTATAAAAAATACATCAAAATTTATAATTTTTTATTATCTTTCATATGAGACCAATATCGCATATAAAAAATATTATGTTTTTAAGTGCTATAATTGCTTAATTTGTACTCAAAATTTTAGAGCCCGTTTGGAGAACTCTGTTTTCGGCTTATCAGGCTTATCAGCCAGCTTTTTCACCAAACACGTAACTTTTACTTTCGCGCGCTGAATTGTGTAATAAGCCGAAAAAGTAAGGTTGGAGTTACTTTTCTGGCTGTATTGGCTGAAGTTACTGTAGAGGATCATTTTAGCTATTTTTACATATAATTTTTTCTTTAATTTATTAATAAAATATATTTTTAAAATATTTTTTTCTTAAATCAGCAGAATCAGCCAAAACAGCCACTCCAGCCAGAATATCATAAATTTCAGCAGAATCAGCCAAAACAGCCGATTTTGGTGCTACCAAACGGGCTCTTAAAGTGCTATATTTTATAAAAATATAAAATAAAATTTATATTAAAATCTACTCATATTATTCTTTTCAAGAATATACCAGACCAGAATTAGATAAACATTTGGTGTGTTTTATCTAATTTGCTTAAATCCTATCCGGTAGATTCTCAAAAATAGCAAACATTGGCTTTAAATAATTTCAAGCAAAAATAGATTCTACTGCATATAAATTAGCAAAAATATTCCATATAAAATAGAATTTTCATATGGAGTAGAATTTTTTTAGTAGATTTGTTAAGAGCCTGTTTGGTAGCAGGAAAATCGGTTGATTTGGCTGATTCTGCTGAAATTTATGAAGTTCTGGCTGAAGTGGCTGCAAGGGTTGATTCTTCTGATTTAAGAGAAAAAAAATTAAAATATATTTTACTAATAAAATAAAGAAAAAATTATATGTAAAAATAGTTGAAATGATCATCTACACTAACTTCAGTCAATACAGCTAGAAAAGTAACTTCAACCTTACTTTTTCTGCTAATTACACAATTCAACGTGCGAAAGCAAATGTTACATGTTTAGTGAAATAGTTGGCTAATAAGCTTGATAAGCCGAAAAATAATGTTGCCAAAGAGCCTCTAAATGCAATAGATTTTTTAGTTCTATACTTTTAATGACAAATTCAAAGTTGAATGACTGAAAATGTCAAATTCACAATACGTAAAATATGATAAATCGGAAATTTTAAAGTCGAGGGCAAAAAATGTTTTACTCACAAAAAATGATCAATCTATCACCTGAACTTTTTTTTTAATACCAATTTCTCTCAGAAAGTTTTTTTTTTACCAATTTCGTAAAATCACTTGTTTTTTACTAATCTGGAAAGTTGACCGCTTGAAAATGATGGTTAAAAAAAATTCTCTTTCAAAGCCAATGTTTGCTTTGTTTGAGAATCTACCAGACATGATTCAAAAAAATCAGATAAACAGACCAAATGATTAATATGAGTAGATTTTAATAGATTTTATTTTATATTTTTATAAAAATAGCACTTCAAAAATCCGAGTACAAATTAAGCAATTATAGCACTTAAATAAACATAATTTTTTTATATCCAATATTGGTCGCATATGAAAGATACTCCGTAATAAAAAGTTATAAATTTTGATACATTTTGTATAACAATCGGCGCACAAATAAAAAAGTTATAATACTTTGAGAAAAGTAAGGGATTTTTTATTTGTGGGACCCAATAAATTATTTCCCATTCTCCCTCTTAGACCATTTGTAGTGGTTAAAAATTAGGAGTAAAAAAAATTAAAAATGGAACTTTTAGACTCCTAATTAGGTGTAGTGGTGGATTAAAAGGGAGAGTAAAAGTGGGAAGGGAAGTGGAGGAGTGTAAATATAGAGGGTTGAGTTGGCAGGGTAAAAAAAATGAAAAAGAAAAGAAAAGAAAGTGACAGCCTGCTCCAAGGCGTTGCCATGGTTCAGCTTACATCATGATGACCTCACGCATATGTCATCATTATCCCAATTTTTTTAAAATAGTTGTTTATGAGATTTTTTACATCGATATGGAGCCCAAATTATTGAAAATTACTTGTTTTTACATCAAAAATGTGTATTTTTTATTTCATAATTATTCAGGAAAAAAAATTAAAAGTAAAACATTACTTAAAATAATTTTTTACTAAATTGATATGTAATAAATATGCAGAGTGTATTTTATTGACGGCGCACGGATGCAGGAAAAAACAGTGTTGACGGAGTCTAGACACTGTTTTCATATGAACGGAGTCCAAATTTGACAATTTGGACTCTTGACCACTACAAATGGTCTTATGCTGCCTTGCTACGTACAATGGAGTTGCCGGCGGTTATACCAACTAACCAGAGTTAATTGTGGTAGTAGATTATGAAATATTTTGAACCCCACCTCAATTTGGTTAATATTTTTTCATTTAGCATTATTCTTGAAACAAACTCACTTGTTAAGGCCTGTTTTTATATTTGAGCCTGACCTATTTGAATGTCCGAGCTGAAGCATGTTAAGAAGAAATAAATAAGTTCAAAAAAATTAATAATAAAAAGTGGCAAATTATTTTAACAGGATATACATTTTATCTCCCAATTGTCACAAAAACGTCATAATATGTTAACTATATAGCTTAGAAATGTTTACGTATTTCAAATATGAAAACTTTGAATTTGAATGACCTTAGTAACCTATTAACACATGGTAAGTTTTAAATTATTATTCTAATTTATAATAACACTCAATAAACACACTTTTAAGCCTAATACGAAGTATAAATTTAAGTATACAGTCAAACACCTTGTGGTTCGATGACATCACACACTCCCAAGGAATAGGTCACAAGTTTGAAACTCATCCCAGTCAAGGATTTTGACATTTAACCAAACATATACCATGAGAAAAAGGGAAAGTACAACCAAAAATAATAATATAAGTATACATATATAGAAGAATGAGCCGTCAAACAATGCGAACAACATGCGCGAGATTAGGTCTATCGAGGACCATAGCATACATCGAACATCCTACTGCACAAGAGTATACGAGATCCGAGACATGTTCTAGCTCCTTCCCAGCTTCAGATTGTGGTGCATACACAGAATACAAACAGATGTTTGCAGCACATGGAGTATTAATGGGCTTAGTTGTAGCCATGCCAAATTTAGACAAAAGCTTTGGATGTAACCCTTATGTGACATCAGGAATATAATGGACTTCATTATTTGTCCTTAACCCTATATTTTCAAATCTTATAGTGCATGTTCTTTTTTTCTAAGAGGAGGGCTACATTATATTCCTTAGCGAGGCCGAGACCACCGTATACCACAAAAAGCGAAGGTAACACATACGTAGTATATTTCTTGCGATCAGTAATTATGAACTATAGAAAAACAAATAACATGCTTAGATGCATGACTATGAAGTATATGTGATGAATTATGAATATAAAGTGTTGGATATATATTCATTTAAAAGTATATTGAACTTTGACTAGATACGTGTTTATTGCGGATAACTTTATATTGAATTTTGACTAGTATTACTTGATATTTAAGAGTTTTTTTATCCACTTTATTTTGAATACATACTTTCTCCAAAGGATAAACTTAGGCAAATGGAGTTATTACACTGCTAGAAAGTTTTGTGAATAAATAAATTAAGTATACTATTACAGATTTTCCTCTTGTCATTGCATAAAATTTTCACATTATTAACTTTTCAAGAGCCTTGTTATACATTGAGAAAACATTTGCATGAGGAAAGTTATAGAGTGGAACATTTAATACAAAGAATATCTCTCAATGCATGATTTGAAGTATATCTTCTCTGTATGTATGTCATATTGAAACTAAAAGAAGTAATATTGCATATAAAAATTAAAAGGAATGTATTTATTTCTCGATGGTAAATAAAATACAGTGATCAACTTTGGGAGTTTATACACACACATGACACAAGTGCATCATATGAGAGTGTAGTGAAATGAATAAAATATTAAATCAATGGAATTTTTTCTTGATATAACAAATTACAAATGGAAGGAAGTCAGGAACTATTAATAAGCTAGAGCGGCAGAGAGTCGACAAGCAGTGCAATAATGTGAGGTTTTAAAACCTTTTCAGGATGAGTATATCCATCTTGGTTATGTTGGTATGTGACAAAAACAATGCGAGCCAAGTTTACGATGCGCCAGAGTATATCACTAGAAACGGGTGTTGGCTTGAGAATGCCTTCATTCAAATCTTTTAATGCAACTGTAGCTAGTTCTTGAAACTTTCCCATTGCCCCATCTAGTGATGTAGCATGTTCATTCATGTAACATTCAATTCCAGTAATAATTTGTCCTCTTTCTTTTTCTACCTGGAAAAATAAATTGTTAGAAATGATTAAGTAGTTGATTTTCCCAACAAAAAACATACGGAGTATTAAAGAAGACAAATAAGTATTTTGACTCTCCTATAGAGTTCTTTCAAAATTATTTAAGAAATTTAATACTTACATCAAATGTCGCTAAGTCGTCGATAGTTCTACATAATGCTACACTAGCCTCGAGTATCTTTGGATTTTTAATCAACCAATCGAACACTTCCTCATCAGCTGAATCCACGCCATAGCAGGATATAGTGGCAAGCAAGTAATATGTGCAACTAACGAATGCATTGTGCAAGTATTCAACAAATTGAGGTTGATGCCCTTCAATAAACCACTTAGCCTCGATAAAGTAGCATCTCACTAGTTCCTTCATCTATTTAAAAGTAGATATAAGATTATTAGCATTCCATAGAAGATATAGTGAAAAAAATTAAGTACATACTTCTATTAAAATCACGTCTTATTTGTCAAGTATCGAAAAAAGTAACTAATGAATTATACATACTCTTTCCTTCCCATGGTGAACGGCATATGATCTTTCGGTCTTTGAGAGATCGGCATCATCCGCATCAAATAGTTCTAATAAAGCTTTGTAACTTATCTTCATATAATTTGGAAGCCTGTCCATTTCACTAATATCCCACCTAATGACATACGTAAAATGAATGAACTTAGCATTTCAAAGTACGTAGATTAGACTCAATAATTCATATGGATCTTGCTAATAGATCAGATTATACGATATTTCAATTCTTCTTAGACTTACTAAAATATAATGTAAATATAATAAGACTTACTTGCATATAGCATCCGTGTAGACTTCAAGTTCTTCTATGGTACCATATGCATCATATGTGTCATCCAAAATCGAAACCATTAGAATATTTTTAGCTAGCATAACTCTAGCCTTGGAGTATTGAGGCTCATAATACACTCCAAGTGCCCAGAAGAAGCACTCTACCGCTCTATCCCTCGCATAAGGAAGCGTTGTCACAAAGTCTAATTCTTTCCACCACCTACGCATGTGCAATAAAAAAATTGATATTAGAATCAAAGAACATGAGGCCTATAGAATAACAAATTAAATGTGCAACCATAGATTTGAATGTAAGAACTAGCATAGGTAATTATATTAATCTAACCTTGATACTTCACTGAGCTCTTGCTTGTGTAACATCTGGAGAAAATTAAAATCCAACTTGGCAAAGTGCAGCAACATGTCATTTCTGAGTGAACTGTCATCTTCTTGCTCATAGATTGAAATGAAAAACCGTGTTTCGATTCTTGGCATTCCTGTGTGCAGCGGTTGTTCGAGTGCGTGCAACACAAGCTTTTCTAGAGTGGTGGAGGTTTGCATATGTGAAGCTGCGGCTTGAAGTCGAGTGGTAGTGAAAGAAAGGGCATCTTCTAAAAGGTCATCTCTGTGTGTTCTTACGAATGAAGCTTCATACAAGCTTAACAGATCCTTCACATTGGAGGTGTCTTTGAATTTGTTGTTAGTGTCCACAAAGCTGCTAAAAACATCTGCATTATAATTGAAAGTCATTTAAGATCAGTGAAGCCTCTATATAAACAAAAGAAGATGAAAATATATATAGGAGGAGAAAAAAAAGTAATTACCAGAGGAAATCTTGAAACCATGTTGCCTCAATAAGCGAAACTTAAGAGCAACAATTTCCAAATCATCATTTGCCTTTTCTTGGGCAGTATAGATAAGGTGCAGTTGATCTTCAACCTCTTTCTCAAAGTGATACGCTATTCCGAGTCGTTCCAAGACGTCAATGAACTTGAGGATTTCGGCAGTGTTGGAAGTTGTTGAGGCAAGCAACAACGTTTTCCTGGTTTGGTCCTTCAAATGTTCAATCTCTTTTTCATATGCTTGTGCTATCTGGTATATAAATTAGTAATTCAACGTTAACCCACTATATAATTCGATCAAGTAGGATTAACTTTAATACTCTGTATATAGTAGTTTGGTAATACGAAATACGAACGGTAGAAGGAAGAAGAAAAACCTGATTGTCGATGGAGAAGGAATAGAAGCGATCTCCCCATAGACTAGGGGAGAAATTGACAATTGGACGAACAATATCTTCGCTTCCGTTCTTCAAGTCTGGAGTAGTCATGGCAAGTACGTTTTAATATGGGCCGCGGCTTATTAGTTAGAGAAGTAGACAGTAATTAGAAGTGTATAAAAGATTAATGAAAGAATATATATAAATATATATGGTTTTGATTTGAGCTGCTTTGCTTATAGACGATGATGGCCAAGTTTGGAGATGAAGAAATGGAGTCTGGGGAAAGAGTGGTATTTATAGATTGGGATTTCATTTGAGTGGGAATGAGTAGCTAGGAATAGTGTGGTCAAATGAGGCAATTCCAGCACCCCGATTTAGCTACTGATGACAAGTTTGACCCTTTCCATTTTTAGAAAGATTTGCTAGGACTGATCGGTCAAATAAGGCAGATTAGAATGTTTTCTTGGAAAGTTTTGAATCATACTGCATCTAGCCGTCTGCCGCCGCCCGAATACTACAACCGGTTGATTTTTTTCTTTTAATTATGTTACTTTTTTATTGATTAAAATCATATTGAAATCATTGATCGTAATAATTTAATTCATCGGTGGTCCAAGCAGTTCTAAAAGAAAGGGGATTATCTTACCTTGACAAAATAATTTATCTTGTGTTTTGTAGAAGATTTGCTAATCCCAAGGTCATAGTTGTAATCATTCTATTCCGTTATGCATTGTAAACCATATTATGAATGATCCTTAATTCATGGAAAGCAGTTTACTATCCCAACAAAATCATATTAATCTTAATCTTAATTAAATAAGATTAGAAAGCGTCCAAATAAGCAATAGTGTGCGTAGGAATATATTGGATTATTTCAAACTAATGCTTTTGAAGGTACCTAAACCTGCCTGCGAGGTTGAAAGTTCAAAATTTCAAATAAGAAAACTATGAAAACAATCGTTTAAAACTTCAAATTACTGTGAATCTTTTATATACAACAATCAGTTCAATTTATTTAAGAGTACATTGTTTTTTATATGGTGGGTATTTAATTTACCTGAAAAATCACACTATTCCACCAATCCTCACATGTCATCGGGATCGCGTCAGGCTATATGGTGGGTATTTACCTGAAAAAATCACACTATTCCACCAATCCTCACATGTAATCGTATTAGTTACTCTGTATTACGTACTAAATGGGTCGTTCCAAGATATTTTTCTTTTTAGGTTATAATATGAGTGATGTTTCGGTTCTTCAATATTTGATACAAGAATTACACGAGCCATTTAAAGATTTTTTTTATTGTTTTGCAAATAGGCTAAAATTTAACAATTGAGTTAGGGGTCCAACGACATCATTATACATTTGGGGATTGAGGCAATGGTCTCAAGTAGGGGTGGTCGCGGTCCGGAACGGTCCGGTAAATTAGTAAGACCCGTAATGTATCCGTGAGGTTTCTAATGGTACGGTACGGTTCGGTTCTAAGGATGGAACCATTCGGTACCATGTTGTTTCGGAACGGTATAAAACGGTACGGTACAATGTCAAACACATGCTAAAAAAATTGGAAACATTTTGCAATTAGTAGATATCATCACACCAACAAATTCACATAAAATGTTACAAGAAATTGCTTACGTAGTACTACAATTCTAAAATTCACAAATAATGCAACACAACTAAAAAAAGTATAGCAACATGATGATAAACAAGATACATATCATCTTTAATTTACAAAGTTCACTTGAAAATATAAAAATAAAATCATCAAATTAATGAATATAACAGAAAAAATCAATGTTCTTCATTGTTCTAGGTTAAGTATTAGTTCTAATTAAATTAATAGTTGAACCGCGGGAGCTAAAATTTAAACCATATTAATTAAGTTGTAAAATTGCACAAACGTGATACAACAAAAAGTTGTATACACTACATTACTAGAAATGAATAGTTATTAATGATTTCTAAAACTTTAACATTCTTTTAATACATACCAAAATATAATACGAAGTATAAATTATCTAAAACAAAAAATAACAATATATATATAAAAACACATGTAGCTATTTTAGGGACGCATGAATACATACTTGAGCTATAAAATTGTTGGTCTATAAAAATAGATTTATTGGTATGGGGAAAATATAAAAAATTTCAATGCATTATTTTTGAACGGTCCGGTTCGGTATTTTTCGGTACTCAAATTCTAGGACCGGTCCCGTACCAGTTTCAAACGGTACGGTTTCGGTTCGGGAAAAAAATTTATAGAACCGTTTGAATACCCGGTATTCGGTTCGGTACCATTACGGGCCGGTTCGGTTCGGGTTTTATGCCCACCCCTAGTCTCAAGGGCTCCATGAGCCATAAATTATAGCAATAGCTTCTGATAAAAATAATGATTAGTCAAGTGTCTTGTGGTCTGATGACATTACTGTGACACTTCTAAAAAACGGTCACAAGTTTGAATCTCATCACAGTTCAAGGATGTTGGCCTTAACAGAACATATACTATAATGGGTTAGAAAGATTTGCCAAAAGATGCCTAATTCATAAGCTCAACTTAGCTATATATTATTGAAACCATTAGTTAATAAAAGCCTTATGCAAAACATGTATGAAGCTTCTTGGCTATTAGTAGCCGTTTATCTCCTTGACTCCTTCAAAGGTACGTAGTATATTTTACTTTTCAAAATCCTTCCATAACGTAGTAGACATGCATGCATAACAACTAAAGGCTCAATTCCCCCAAGTAGAGTAGATTTTTTTCTTTTCTTTTCTGAGACTCCTATATAGTTTTGGAAACTTCATTACTTTCAGTATAAATATATTTTTGAGGTCTTCCTCTACCTCGGCTCTTCCGCCACCTTCCAAACTATAGTTTTTTTTTTTTTTTGACAATATGGCTCTATTATAATTTTGTAGGACCATCATGTTATAAAAATATCTCAAATCAAATACTATCTCCACATGAAGGGGGGATGCATCATTTATTAAGAAAATGGAACTATATGGTTGATGTTGAATTAATAAAGTAAGAATGATTTAGAATCTTACAAATTTTACCAAATTTGGTATGTGACAATCATAAGGAGACGGATCGAAAAAGAAAGGGTTTTTCTTACAAAAGCATTACTAATATAAAACTTATTTACACAAGTATGTCTATTAGTTACTATAATGTAGTGTCATAGTAAATTAAATCTAAAAATTGAACGTAGTTACTTTGATTTCATTACTACTCTAGTCACTAATCACGTTTTTGTAAACAGTCCTCATTTTAATCATAAATATAATATGTAATTATTTCAAAAGAAAGACGGGACAAATTTAAGGGAGAGTAGTAATAAAAAACGATCAATACGTATCTTTAGGAATACTAAGATCGCTTACAATGGATTCAATTTTTTTCTAGAAAATAATTTGCTAGTTAGAGCATTAGAGTAATAGAGTATATTCTTTTTTGACAAAACTTCCTAACCTATTACGTAGTATAATTTATAGTAGCTATTATAATTTATAGTACTCGTATATGTTCTAGGTTAAAGCCAAAATTCTTAAACTACGATGAGATTCAAATGTGCGACCTTCTTGAGAGTGCTACAATGATTACTTCAGACCACAACGTATTTGAGAGTGTTAGAGTACAAACTTTAATAAGTGATTTGGCAACTAAAAATGCAAGAAAAATCAATAAATCTCTCTTAGAATGTTTTTACTTGGATTGGTTTCAGTCCCAAACCAAACCAGACTTAAACAGGTCAGAGCAGATCAAACTTAAGCATACCAGACTAGATCAGATCAGACAAGACATCCATAGTTATAAAATACACAGAGACCACACATTTACCAGACCATACCGGACCAGACTTAAACAGACCAGACCAAATCATCAAATTTCAATTCAAGAAAAAACATAAATGGGATTTTTTTTATCTTGTCTAATTAATTTGACTCTTTTTATTCAGTATTAATCTAAATTATACTAATATGAATTATTTTATTTTGATCAATGTTTCCGATAAAATTTGAATAAAATAAGTGACATGATTAAAGGAAAATCAACCAGCCGGTTGTGATATTGGAGTGGCGGTAGGCGGCACGCTAGCTAGAAGCAGTATGATACAAAAGAAATGCACGTACGTACGCTTTATTTGACCGATCAATTAGAGTTATTTGACCACTCTAATTTTTTTTTTGAGAGTTATTTGACCACTCTATTCCTATACTTGACTCTAGTTAAATCCGTATAAATACCGCTCTTTCCCCGACTCCATTTCTTCATCACCAAAACTTCATCCTCTACAAGCAGCTCAAATCAAAACCATATATATTCTTAAATTGATTTTTAATACACTTCTAATTACTATCTTCTTTTCTAAGCCCCGGCCGTATTAAAACGCACAATGACCACTCCAGGCTTGAAGAACGGAAACGCCGCTGATATTGTTCGGCCAATTGTCAATTTCTCCCCTAGTCTCTGGGGAGATCGCTTCCATTCATTCTCCATCGACAATCAGGTAGGTTTTCCATCAATTAATATCATTTAGTTTTTATATTATATATATGCAGTGTAGTAAGAAACTGAAAACGTAACAACTTCTTGGTTTACTTATATAGTTCAGAATAAACGATATAAACGTAGTACTACTTAGGAAAATTGGCACATGTTGTACTTCGTATATGTTAATCTGTCATGTGTAATGTGTGCCTTTTCCGATCGGAAATGCATAAATTTCAAAAAGATAGATGGTTCTGTTTATTCACAACATATATACGGAGCGTATAATTAATGGGTTACGTCAACATTTTCTCTGTATCCGTATAGTTACTTCACATTGTCAAACTGCTATGTATATATTAAAGATTTAAAGTTCATTCTATTTGAATTATATAGTGGATTAACATTATGCGTACCTACCTGCAGATAGCACAAGGGTATGAGAATGAGATTGAAAAATTGAAGGACCAAACCAGGAAAATGTTGTTGCTTGCCTCAACAACTTCCAACACTGCCGAAATCCTCAAATTCATTGACGTGTTGGAACGACTCGGAATAGCATATCACTTTGAGAAAGAGATTGAAGATCAACTACACCTTATCTTTACTACCCAAGAGGAGGCAAATGATGATTTGGAAATGGCTGCTCTGAAGTTTCGCTTATTGAGGCAACATGGTTTCAAGATTTCCTCCGGTAATTACTTATTCTCTCCTCGATCATTATATATGTCTTCATCTTCTTTTCTTTTTAGGTAAG